ACCTGACCTGCCTCTTGAGAAACCTGTATGCAGGTCAGGAAGCAACAGTTAGAACTGGACATGGAACAACAGACTGTTTCCAAATAGGAAAAGGAGTACGTCAAGGCTGTATATTGTCACCCTGCTTATTTAACTTATATGCAGAGTACATCATGAGAAATGCTGGGCTGGATGAAGCACAAGCTGGAATCAAGATTGCCAGGAGAAATATCAATAACCTCAGATATGCAGATGACACCATCCTTATGGCAGAAAGTGAAGAACTAAAGAATCTCTTGATGAAAGTAAAAGAGGAGTGAAAAAGTTGGCTTAAAACTCAACATTCAGAAAACTATGATCATGGCATCTGGTCCCATCACTTCATGGCAAGTAGATGGGGAAACAATGGAAACACTAATAGACTTTGTTTTTTTTTGCTCCAAAATCACCGCAGATGGTGACTGCAGCCATGAAATTAAAAGACGCTTACTCCTTGGAAGAAAAGTTATGACCAACCTAGACAGCATGTTAAAACGCAGAGACATTACTTTACCAACAAAGGTCTGTCTGTTCAAAGCTGTGATTTTTCCAGTGGTCATGTATGGATGTGAGAGTTGGACTATAAAGAAAGCTGAGCGCCAAAGAATTGATGCTTTTGAACTGTGCTGTTGGACAAGACTCTTGAGAGCCTCTTGGACTGCAAGGAGATACAACCAGTCCATCCTAAAGGAGATCAGTCCTGGGTGTTCGTTCATTGGAAGGACTGATGTTGAAGCTGAAACTCCAGTATTTTGGCCACCTGATGGGAAGAACTGACTCATTGGAAAAGACCCTGATGCTGGGAAAGATTGAAGGCAGGAGGAGAAGGGGACGACAGAGGATGAGATGGTTGGGTAGGCTCACTGACTTGATGGACATGAGTTTGACTAAACTCCGGGAGCTGGTGAAGGACAGGGAAGCCTGGCATGGGGTAGTCCATGGGATTGCAAAGAGGTGGACATGGCTGAGTGACTGAAGTGAGCTGAAACCTTAGGAAGAAATAAATAGTACAAAACAAGAAAGGACTTTCACACCGAGTCGTGACTTGAAACAGGGTGGTACGACTGGGCTGGAGAGCGCTCCAGGGGCAGAACCTGATGGAGAACTTGCTGTCGCTCTTTCCCCTCGGCTGACTTAACTCAGAAGTGGGAAGCAGCCATGAGGCTCCCCGGGCCCCCGCTGGGCAGCCCGTTTTTGCTGACGCCAGGTCTGGGAGACAGAGCAGGAAGCATGCAGGGCTGAGCCTCTGCCTTCGGGGATAAGAGATGGTGATCACTCAGCGAAATGCATCCTTTCAGGTACTGACACTCTGCAGGCTTGAAGAGTGCTCTGAAAAGGGTGACAGAGAGAAATGAGGGAGGGGGAGGCGGTGGCGGGCTGGTGGAGCTTTGGTGTGCGGGCACAGCTCCGAGGAGAGGGCGTTTGAGTGGAGTGGCTCGGGGCGGGAACGGGGCAGCCGTGGGTTGAGTGGGGGCGTGGGCTCTAAACAGCACAGGGTGAAGGAAGGAGCTTGGCGAACATACTCAGAGGAGGCAGGGACGGCTGAGGGTCAAGGCGGATCCTGGGCAAGCTGTCGTCCAGGCCAGAGATGCGGTGGCTCCGGTCAGAGTGAGGGCAGTGGGCGCAGACAGATGGGTGTGGGGAAAGCACACTCACTGCGTGTGGACCGCACGCAGGCTCTGGAGGTAGAACTGTGGGAAATCCCTTCCTGTCCTCCCTGAGCTGCTGTTGTGGTGGGGGCGGTCAGTGTGGGATGCAGGACCAGGGCTTGGTCCTGGGGAGGAGTGGGTGGCGAGGATGAGGGGCTGTGTGCTGCAGAGAGGGGGCCTTGTGGCAGGAAGACCGCCTGAGCCACTCAGCTTCCCACAGGCTTGGGAGCTGCAGCCAGGAGGTCTGAGATGGTCCTGACATTAAGACATGGCATAAACATGAGTTTAAGGTGGGCGGTTTGGTTATTAGATCCATGTATACACACCAGCATGATCGCTGATGTCAGTTCCATTAACACCTCCGTCCCCTCTCAAAAACAGGACTTCTGCATGTGTCTGTGCAAGTATATATGATACAGGACTTGTTTGGTGTGGTCCCCAGGCTGTGCGTTCACTCCCCCAGCCCTACTGGGGAGTTTGTACCGCGTGACCAATATCTCTTCCAGCCCCTGGATCCACCATTCTACTGTCTTTCTATGAGTTTGGCTTTTTTTTTTTTATTCCACATGTAAGTAGGAGCATAGTGTTAGTCTTTCTCTGACATTTCAATAAGCCTGAGGCCCAAGAGGAGTCGTTGCTGCAGTGGGTGCCAAGTGGCGTGGAGTGGGGGTGAGAATCGGGAATAAGTCTCATGTTTGATATGAGCAGTTCAGGGATGGGACTGTCAGTGACCAAATCGGGAAGCTTGGGAGGCAGGCTCGGGCGGGGAGGACATGAGTGATTAGACCCCAAGTGGAGCCAGGGAGTGGGCAGGTGGGGGTTCTCCCACTGATCTCAGGGCTCTGGGCCCAGGATGCAGGAAGCCTGTTGCCCTATGAGATGATGGCGGGGGAAGCGAGGGGGAGGCCAGCACCTGGAGGTTGGGCAAAGAGGGAGGGCACCCGGCGGGCAAGTGGGACCAGAGGGTCCTAGAGGAGGCGGCGAGGCCAGAGGACTCTGCCAGGGCCAAGTGAGATGAAGCCTGAGACTGTCCTCGGCTTTGATGGTGTCCTCAGGGGCTTTGCTGACCCTTTGGTGCTGTGACCAGGGTGGAACCCCCGCTGGTTGGGCTGGAGATGACTTGTTGGCGAGGACGCTAAGGGCAGAGACTCTTGGAAAGCGTTGCGTCCGGTTTTGGGGAGAGGGTGGTGTCTTGCCCGTGTACCCTTGAGCTGAGTTCCTCTCCTTCAGGAGGCGGTGGCATCGTGTGGCGTGAGCTGCTGTTGAGACCCGCGCGGGGTGGGGGGCACGCACGGGTGCGTGCAGAGCGCCCAGCACAGCCTCTGTCCGCTACGGCGTTCTCTGACGTCTAGTTTGCCCCATGCTCCTCTGTCTGAGAGGCTGCTTTTTCTCACCAGTGCAAGGGGGAAGTTGGGCCAGATGAAGAAGTTTCCAGGTCTAGGTTCTCATGCATTGCCCTCCGTTCAGCCGGGGTCCCTGCTTCCCCTTTCCCACTCTGTCTGGTTTCCCAGCTGTGGCTGTAACCCCCACTGGGCTGCCTTCTGTTCTGCCTTTCCTCGTCTTCTCCACTTGCCCGAGATGACCGGATTAATTCTCTGCGAAACCGCCTTGCTGCGGCTTCTCTCTCACCCAAGAGTACTGAGACAGGCCTCCTTCCTGAGGTCACAGCCACGACCCCGCGGGACTTGTGCTCCGCTGGACTCCTGTCCTCGGCCTCCTCTCACCCCCGGCCGTCCGGTTGGCGGCCCCATAACTGTATCTGGCTCTGCCTTTCTTCTGGCAGGTTATACCCAGCTTTAAACTAGGACCGTCTCTCGGGAGCCGCTGTGTGCGAGGGTGCCCCGGGCGCTGCCACAGGGAGGACCCTCCATCTGCAGAAGCGCCAGCGCCGCCCCTGTCCTGGCCTTTTGGCCGCGCTCACGCGTGGCTCAGGCGGGCCGCATGCACGCCGAGCGCCTCCTGCTTTGCCTGGCGGTTGCCTCTCACGGGTCTCAGCTCCTTCCTCCCCCACCGGCCTCCTCCGTGGCTTCTGTGTCCCCTGCCGCGCTGTGTGTGTTGGGTGCTTCACACGTTAACAAATCACATCCATCAGGAAACGTCGCTTTGTCTGAGAAGCTGTAATGGGAGGTTTGGGGATTATTAACACTTTTAAGAGAGAATAGTAACCGAGGGTTACTATTTTTCTGGGTGTGTATATCTAGAATTTTTAAAAGTTAAAAACAGTTTCCAGTGTTGACGTTATTTTATCAAAAACCTTTATAATCTGCAAATGTCTTGGCCCAGAAAATCTACTTCGAGGGCTTTATCCTCAGAAAATAGTTGTGAATATCTGCAGGGAATGTCCACTGGAGTGTTTATGATGTGGAAAATTGGAGGTAACCTGGATATTCACCAGTAGGGTATTGGTTTAAAAAGAAATGAACTCATGGTACATATTTACGCATTACCGTTACTGTCTCCCTCATAAAATGGTGATGTAGAAGGGTGTTGACTTGGTAAAATGTTCATATGAAATGAAGGAAGTATGTTTAAAAGCATTATATTGTTGTCCGATTTCCTTTACCTTAAATTCTAGAGAAAGAATAATTTGCATAGTTAGTGATATCTTTGGATGTAGGGATTATTGATGGTTTTTACTGTCTTTTTGCTATTACCTAACCTTTCTACAGGAAGCGTCCTTAATTAAGAAAACACTTCATTAAAGTTGGAATTGGATACTTCTTTTATTCGTATAAATCACAGGTTCTTATCTCACTGCTGAGTTAGCCTTTCTGTCTATATGCAGTGCTGGGGAAGAGCCCAGGGCCGCCTGCATGGGCGTGTGCTTCCTGGGTCCCTGCCCTGCAGGCCACAGTGCCTGTTCTCCGGTGTACACAGCGGGGCGTCCTTGAGGCTGGCATGGCCGTGGGCTGTTGTCCCTCGGCTGCGGGGCTGTTGGTTCAGGCGCTGGGCGCTGTGCCCTGCAGTAGGGGCAGGGTGTGTGTGGTTGGGCACCTGCCGGCAGGCCTGGGTTGCAGCCTTGGCCCTCTCCTGTGTCCCTGTGTGGCCCTGGGCTCCAGGCTGTGGTTTGCATGTCGGTGAGGTGGGGTGGCGTCTTCCGCAGAGGTGAGGGCACTGCGTGCTCTGACCCACAGCAGGCCCATCCCGAAGGAGAACCGGCCAGTGAGCTCCCCAGACAGTCTACCTGCGCCCCGCTCCTATGGCAGTCGGTGGTGAGAGGGGGTCTCACTTCCTTAGCGATCATGTAGGATTCCTGGAGACTGGCCGTGTGGCGGGCTGGGAAGTGTTTGTGAACTGTGCTCTCCTTGTGACTCCCCTCTTGTGTCCCTGCAGTCTGTGGGCCGGGCATCGACATCCGCAACGACTACCAGCAGCTGAGGCGCCTGGAGAACTGCACCGTGATAGAGGGCTACCTCCACATCCTGCTCATTTCCAAGGCCGAGGACTACCGCAGCTACCGCTTCCCCAAGCTCACGGTCATCACCGAGTACCTGCTGCTGTTCCGCGTGGCCGGCCTGGAGAGCCTGGGCGACCTCTTCCCCAACCTCACGGTCATCCGCGGCTGGAAGCTCTTCTACAACTACGCCCTGGTCATCTTCGAGATGACCAACCTCAAGGACATCGGGCTCTACAACCTGCGGAACATCACCCGCGGGGCCATCCGGATCGAGAAGAACGCTGACCTCTGCTACCTCTCCACGGTGGACTGGTCCCTGATCCTGGACGCCGTTTCCAACAACTACATCGTGGGGAACAAGCCCCCCAAGGAGTGTGGGGACCTGTGCCCGGGCACGATGGAGGAGAAGCCGCTGTGCGAGAAGACGACCATCAACAACGAGTACAACTACCGCTGCTGGACCACAAACCGCTGCCAGAAAAGTAAGACGAGGCTGTGGCCTCGGTCCCCCCGCACCCCCCATGGAGGCTTGTGGATCTGCTGCTTTGAATTTCTGATGGGCAGGGTGACCCAGTGTGCTGGGAAGTGCCTAAGTCCCACCACTCAGGGGCTGTGTATGTATCATCACCTCTTTTATCCTTTGTGTGGAAGGAGGTTTTTTGGTAACGCAGGGCTTCCTTTATGTGAGTGCACCTGGATTATTACAGAGGAGAGGAGAGGTAAAGACGGGCTCACATCCTGTGAAAGTGGTGAGCTGCACCCCGTCCTTGGTCCTTAATGATAAAGTTCAGTGTTTGAGCGTCCTGGTCTATGATGGGGTGGAGGTGCTGGTAGAGAAGCCCTGGACCGTGTCTAGGAGCCCCGGGTTCAGGCTGACCTGGCAGGTAGCTAGCCGCACAGCAAGCTCATTTTTGTACCCCCGGCTTCTGCTTCCTTTCTTGTCTACCTCTTTCTTGAAGAATTGTGCAAATCTTGTGAAACCTCTTAGTGAAAGAACTTTAAAATGTATTTACTGCTCTTGGGGGTCAGGTGGTGGTGTTTGGAAGCTTCTTGTTTGTTTATCTGCTGTGTGTGACTTCCTCTGAGTGTAACTGAGCTCTTGCCTGATTGTGATCCACGCCTTGAGCACTGGGTTGTTGGGTGTTGAAATGGGACTCTGGGCCTTTGTCTTCTTGCTTTTGGCAATGTTTAGGTCTGTTGTCCAGGAGGGTTCCCCTCGCTGGCTGGAAGGCAGAGTGGTACCTATAAATAGTTTAGTGGTTGGCCCAGTTAGAGCCTCAAGGAGTCCATGTACTCCAGCTGGCCACGGAGAGCCAAGAAATCCCGAATTGGTAGGCTTGCCTAAACCGTGACGTGTGTAAGATAAACAGACCAAAGGCCAGACCCCACAGGTAGCGTTGTTTCAGCTTCCTGCCAGCCCAGGGCAGAAGCAGAGAAAGGAGGCTCTGACACACGGCGTGCTTTCATGCTCCCTGTCACTCCACCGGTGGGAGGGTGAACACTGGTCCAGTGAGGGCGGGGTTCCACGGGCTGCAGCCAGGACCTCAAAGAGCTGAGAACACCATCAGGCCACTTGGAGCATCCCTGTTGGCTTGGGTTGGGGAAAATACTGTGCTAAAGTCACATTTGTGATTGATTAAAACACTACCCTGTCATTAGCTTACCCGCTGGTTCTGAAAAAACAACAAAGAATATTTTCAAGTAGTTTTGACATTTAAAAACTTTATTTTAAAGGAAAAAGTAATCTTCAAATGAGGTGTCATGTGTCGTGGAGAGATGTTGGATGTGGTATAATGGGGGTGACCTTGGACTTGGATGTGGTATAAAGGGGTGACCTTGGACTTGGGTGTGGTGTAAGGGGGGTGACTTTGGACTTGGATGTGGTGTAAGGGGTGACCTTGGACTTGGATGTGGTATAAGGGGCTGACCTTGGACTTGGATGTGGTGTAAGGGGGTGACCTTGGACTTGGATGTGGTGTAAGGAGCTGACCTTGGACCAGCTAGNGGGGTGACCTTGGACTTGGATGTGGTATAAGGGGCTGACCTTGGACTTGGATGTGGTGTAAGGGGGTGACCTTGGACTTGGATGTGGTGTAAGGAGCTGACCTTGGACCAGCTAGCCCTTCTGGGCTGTAGTTGGCTATGTTTAGAATGCTCCATTGGGCAGCCCCATATTATTCCTTAGTGATGGTCAAATGTGTGTGCAGAACTGTTCTGAAAACTCATAAGGTCTGTACTAAAGGGAGGTGTTACTTAAAAAGTCGTTTGGTGGGCACTTGTTCAGTGACTCATTCAGTATTTATTTAGGTCTAACTGTGGATTTTGGGCTGTTTCTGGCCAGCTTCTTGTTGAAGAAGTCGGGTGCAGGGGCGAGGCATGAGTTCTGGTCCCAAGTCTAGTAGCCGTGACTGGACGTTTAACCTTGGGCTGGCCCTCAGTTTTCTCATCTGTGAAATGGGGTAGCCCTATGGCGTCGTCATAGGCTGTTGGGAGATTAGAGAGAAAAAGGGGGAAGGCTCCTGAGAAAGGCCTGGGGGGCGGGCATCAGGCCGCTGCGTCTGATGCTGGCAGGCTTGCTGGCCCGACACCCTCTTCCCCAAGGCCGCACCCTGCAACCTTCTCCCGGGCCAGTGTCTCAGGCCTGCTCATGTTTTTCTGTGATTTCACAATGGAATATTTATTTAAAAATAATGACAGCATTCAGGGAAATTGTCTTCCCTTCAGCTTGTCCTGAAAGCTCCAGGGTTGGCAGGTTTCTTGGGGATTTTCTAGTTGAATTGGAACTCTTTCCCTTTGCGTAGATTCCCTTCTGACCTGCAGGGTCCTGTGTGGTAGCCACTAACGCCACGAGTCTTGTCCAGTACTTGAACTGTGGCCTGTCTGAATTGAGATTTTTTAAGTGTGCAATACACACTGGATTTCAGAGCATAATACGGGGGAAAAGAAAGCTATTTCCTTAATATTCTGTATATTGATTACATGTTAAAATGATGCTTTAGACGGATGAAGTAAAACGTTACTGTGGTTAGTTTTGCCTGTTTCTCTTTACTTTTTAATGGGGCTCCTAGAGGATTTGAAGTCACAGATGGAGCTCGTGCTCTGATACATTCAGAGAGCGCTGGCTCAGAGCATGCTGCAGAAGGTGCTGGGTTCTTGCCTGCAGAAGTCCTGTCTCTGCTGAGCACCGCAGCACTGTGCTGCTCCACACCTCTCTAGGCAGAGCCGAGGGGTTGTCCGAGGAGCCAGGTGGGGGGCGCTGAGTCCAGACAGAATGTCTGCCTCGGGGTCCCCGTGAGTGTGAAGATGGCCATTGGAAAAGAGGAAGCACGGAAGCATCCCATTCTTCCGGGAGCTGGCTCCAGACGAAGGGGGAGCGTCTGGAGAGATGTGTCAGGTCAAGATGTGTGTGAGATGTTTGACAGGACGGAGAAGCCCTCAATCATGGGGTGCCCGTGGGCAGTTTTTCCCTGACACCCCCCTTTGAACCCCCTCTGTAGATCCTGACTCTGCAGGGGCAAAGTGGCTTTGTTGACAGCCACCTCTCCATTAAAGAAACCACTGTGCTGTGGGTTCCCTGCCCACTTCTATCTTCCAATTTCAAGGGGTGGTTTTATGTTGGTGCAAGTTACCCACCTCCTCGAGGTGATTGGCCTTTAAAGAGCATGAGTGTGGCTTCTTCCCTCCCTTGAGCCTGTAGGTGGGCCCCCTGAGCTTCGGCATGCTGACCCCACCGTCCCCGCCTGTCTGCATCTCTGGTCCTCCTCCTGCTTGCGCTGCGGCCTTTTTTCTGGCTCCTCTTCCGGGTCCAGTCTCTAGTCCTTGTTCTCCTTGGACCGTCTTTCCACTGTCCTCTCCCCCAGAGTTTCTCACCCGCTGCTTCAGCAGCCTCCCGCCTGCATCTGGCTTCCAAACCCCATCTCCAGGAGCTCAGACCTCGCCGTGAGCCCTCAAGCCCATCCCCAGTCATGTCTGGACCCCCACGGGCATTGCAGCTACAGACGGTGGGGGGACCTCTGGAGAGAGGTGTCAAGTCAAGGATGTGTTTGAGGTTTTAGACGTTACAGAGAAGCGCTCAGTTACGCGGTGTCAGCGTCTGATGGGGTTCCTGGCTCCTCACTTCCAGCCCGGGGTTCTCCCTGCCTCCCCTCTGCGTGGGCAGCGTTCCTGTTCTCCGAGCGCCTGTGTCGGACACTTGGGTACCACGTGGATGCTGCCTTTTCCAGCCGGACACCGAGGCCTTTCCGCGCGAGGTGCTTCCCCAGTCTGCCTTCCTCTGTCTCCCCTCTGCTGGCTCAGCGACACGGCCTCTCCCTGGCCGCCCGGCCTGTCCGCCTCGCCCCAGTGGCCTTGCCCACATGCATGCTGACCCACAGGCTGCTCTCCCTGGAATCCTGTCAAGGAGCCCGTGGGAGCCCACGAAGCGGGCCTTGCACCTGGCCTTGTGCCTGCGGGTCCATGGCCCCGCTGAGCAGCTGGCCGCCTGCTGCTGGAGGCCTGGGGGGCTTGGTGGACTCTGGTGGGCTCTCCCTGAGGAGGAGAAGCCTGTCTGAGTAGATTCTGGGCATGTCCTCCAGCGCCTGGGCAGCACAGCCGTCCCCCAGGGGTGAGCCTGCTCCTGCTTTGTGAAAGACGGGTTGTCAGGAAGATGCATCTTCCCCCTCGCGCAGAGAGCGGTGTGGCGTAACTGCTTGGCGAGCCAGAAGGCGCAAGGATTAAAAAATGCGGACGTTTCCTGTGTCATTTTCATGGCCGTTGCTCCCTGGGGTCACCCCCATTGTCCCCTGCCCTGGTCAGAGTGACCCAAGGCTGGGGATGACGGGGAAGGATGGAGAGGGTGTGACCCATCCCGAAAGCTGAAGCCTGGCCCGAGGGTACTGTTCTTTATCCTCTGGAGGATGGCTGCGTGTAGGGAGGGAACGGGGGACTTCCCCGGGCTCCTGGGTTCTCTCCTTGCCCGGCACAACGCCCTGACCCTGTGTGGTGTTAGCTTACCTTCTGGGTTTCTGGTAGGAGATTTCAAGTATGGCACCCCCTGCCAACCGGAAAAAAAAAATCTGAAAACCTACTGCTGGACTTAGTCTCCAAGTACTTTCCAAGTCGTCAGAGTGAACACCATGAGGTCCCTGACGTCACGGTGCGGCCAGTGAGTGGGCCTGGGCTCTGCCAGGGGCCCCACCGGGCCGGCTTCGCTGCGGCGCTGCCTTCCTGCCGTCCAAAGGGGACGTCTGGGGACGGCGGCCCAGAGCGCGGTGCCTTTCCTACCGCCTTCAGCGAGGAGAAACCAGGGAGACAGGTTGGAGCTTTCAAGGAGAAGGCAGAAGCCGGCTCCGTTCGCTGACAAATGGAACATGTTTCACTGCCGCCTCACCACCCAGGGGCCCGGAACTTAAAACGAAGACAGGTGTAATCGTGTATCTCCCCCTCAGTGGGTTCTCCGGCTTTTATCAGCCTCTCCTCACGAGGGTGACCTGCTCTGAGGGGT